CTGTAAGCCTTCCAACCTTGTAAATATTCCTTTATAAGTGGTTCAGAGTTCTGGCATCATCCCCTGAGCCTGCTTGGTCTGGTATTCTGTGTTGTTGCTGATGGAGCTCCTCACTTCCACCTGATCTGCCATCTTGTTTGTTCTTCCCTATTTAGGAGACTTTTGCAACAATTTTTCTGCCTCTTCTCTTCCTTTCTTCTTTATCCCCAGCTTCCTTGTCACCTTCTCCCTGTACTTTTGCCAGGACCTTCCTTCTGCTTTCTACCTTTGGCTCTTCCCTCCCTTCCCTGCTCCATGGCCCCTTTTCCTCCCACTGAGCACCCATCTCTTCTATAATCTCTTCACACACTGTTCATATGTGTTTCCAGATCTTACTTGCATAGGTGCCACACCAGGCTCCTATTTCCGTTCCTTGTCTATATTTCTTCTTTCTTCCTTAGTCCATCGGGTCTTTCCATTCTCATTCTTCTCCTATTTCACCTTCTCATATTTCTCCATCTGCCTGTCACCCTACTCCATAAGCCTGTCCACTCCAACTCTGTGCCCTCCTTTCTCTCACCTTTCCTGATGCCTGAGGCTGCCTTCTTGAAAGTCCTTGAGAGATCCCAGGCCCCACTTACATTGTCTGTCCCTGGAGAGGGGGGTCCCCAGCCCAGCTCTATGTACCCCATCATTCAGGACAGTGACCCAACAGTTTCACTAAGCGTTGAATGATTTTTTCATTTGTTCCCTCTCTCCCTTCCCGTTGCCATCTTGCTCACTTCCTTATGTTTTCACATCTTTTTCTTTTCCTTCCACTTCCTGTCCATTTCTCTTCAGTGCCTGTATCCCCACTCTTTGTTCTCCCTTTTGTCATTTTACTTCTTCCTTTCCTTTCCTGCCCTCCCCCTATTTCCCAATTGTTTACTCTTCTCCCCGACTCTCGTCATCCCTCTTCCCTGTCACCTTCTCTACCTCTCTGGCTCACATCACAAGCTCACTCAGCAGAAGAACTGCACTCTCCATGTGGCAGCAGTGGCTGAGACTTTAGCCCCAGCAACCAGTAGCTTCACGGAGCAAGGCTCAAGTTGGTTGGCTGGCTGTGGGGGCGGGGCTAGGGAGACAGGGGTCATGTGTGAAAAGATACTGCTTTCCGGAGTACTACAGGCCCTTACACAAGTCTTTGTATGAATTGGCTATATCCAGTCGGGGCAAGAAAGGAGCTCTGGTAGCATAGTGGTTAGGAATTGGGCTGCGAGTCACAAGGTCAGCAGTTCGAAACTACCAGCTGTTCAGTGGGAGAAAGAGGAGGTTATCTGCTCCTGTAAAGATTTACAGCCTTGGAAACCCTGTACAGGGTCGCTACAACAACAACAACAAGTGGGGCAAGAAAAGGAAGAATTTATGACTCTGGGAAATCTAAAAAGTCAGAACTCAAAGGACAAGGGCCCGCTAGCTGCCTGCTAGCTGCTGCTTCTGGGAGGATGCCCACGTTGTACCTGGTGCCTGGGGTGGCGCTGCAGGATAATGCACAGGACTGCAAAGTCGGGTTGACCTGCAAGGTCAGAGGTTCAAACTCACCAACCGCTCTTTGGAAACCCTATATAGGGTCACTGTGGGTCGGAACCGACTTGATGGCACTTAACAACAACAAATCCGTGTCCTGACTCAAATACTTCTGGGAGAATTGATGCTGGGCCAGTCCGAGATGCTGCTGATTCAAGACTGCTGTTGGAGCTCCTCAGGGTCCCCTGCCCCCCTGTGCCTCCCCCAACTTCAGACATCTTATCCTTGGCTCCCTTTACCTTCCCAGATGGCTACTACATGCTCCTGGACTCCAAGGATGCAAAACCGGGTCAGAAATCGAGCCTCTTGAGCCCACTGAGTCAGTCCTCTGGCTGTCTGAGCCTCTCCTTTCACTACATCCTTCGGCCTCGGACAGCTGGTGCAGCCCTGGTCATTAAGGCTGTGACCTTGGGTTAGTGGGAAACTCCCAGCATTGAATTGAGGGGTAAACATTGGGGCATCCCTCAGGAAGCCTGGAATATATGAGAGATTACTTCATGGGTTGGAATTGGAGAGTTGCAGAACACTGGCTTCTGGAAAAATAGATAAAGATGCTAGGAGAGTGTGAGAGAAGGGTGTGCTTACATTTGGGGCTGGATACCCCAGCGATCTGTTATCCATCCTTCTGAGGATAAGGCTGAAGTCATTTCCCAGTCTTCTTGATCTCACTTCTCTTTCCAATTCCTCCCACTGCAGGCAGCATCCAGAAACACACTCTCTTCTCAGGACAGCCGGGATCCAACTGGCAGCCGGTTTCTGTCAATTACACAAGCCAGGGGCAGATACAGGTACACAGGAGCATGGCTGGCACTTCCAGTCTAGAAATGAATTGAGGGTCTGGTGACAGGGACCAGAGTGCGTGGGTCTCTGGATGGAGTTCACAGACCAGAGGCTGGGGTTTTAGAGTGTACGCTACTCTCCCACTCTCTTCAGTTCATCATGATTGGTGTGTTCGGAGAAATCCCAGAGCCAGCTGTGGCAGTGGATGCCATCACTATTGCTCCCTGTGCAGGTAACAGCAGGACCCGGAAGGCCCTGATATCGCCGAACCAGGGGTGAGAAGCAGTAGGAATCAAGAGTGCGGTCAAAAGTTCTCACACATCTTCCATTTTCATCCCCCAGAGAGCTTGCCTCAGTGTGACTTCAATGATAATGCCCATCCCTTCTGTGACTGGGTCCAGGTACCGAGGGATGGTGGACACTGGACCCGGGGAAGTAGAAATATGCCCACAGACTCTTCTGGAGGTTCCCCTAATAGAGGTGAGAAGTTTGAGGACCCCTCAAGTCAATGAATCACTGAATTTGCTCTCAGCTATGGGACTGGTTGTTGTGGTTGGTGGAGGAAGTGTCAGTAGAGAGGATGTTGTAGGTGGTGAAGATCAGTAAGCAGATGATTACTGAGAAAGTACCATGGGACCAGAGCCTTGGAGATGACAGAGGTAAAGCCAGTTAAGGAATCTCACGGCTATGGGGACATTGAAACCCCACAAAAAAACAGGCTTCTTACTTCACTGAGCCCAAGGCTTCGAAAGCCACGATCCTGATTTCAGTCAACTCATGTACTGGTGCAGTGACAGAGGTTTCTTGTTTCTTTCTGAGTCTGCCTTCTTGAGTTAGAAGTTCAAAACGAGCAGGAAACAGTGCTGCCGAATGTTCAGAACCCCATTCGGAAATAGGCGTCTCCAAACCAGCAATAGGAACGGCCTTTCCATGTTTCTCATTTTATCCATTTCCTCCTTTTGTCCAGAGAGTCATCACTACATCTACCTCAAGCCTGACAAGTTTTCCCAGAGAAGACAGCCGATCCGACTGGTGAGCAGGTCCTTCTGTGCCCCGGAGGCAGTCTGTGTGGAGTTTACTTACTACATGCATGGCCCTGGAGAGGGCTCTATGCTCAAGTTCCTGCTGGGGACTCCTAGAGGGAGTGCCACAACTTCTCTCTGGAGCCGTGTGGGATCTCAGAGTCCTGCCTGGCAGCAGGTGTCCATCACCATCCCTTCAGGACGTCAACAGCCCATGCAGGTGAGAGATGGAGAGTTGGTCTTGTATGTGTCTGTATGTGGTATGATATAGAGGAACATGATGCTGGGAAGGGAGTACAATGGTTGAGAAGATGGAAAGCTGGAAAGGAAGCATGGAAGAGATGAACTTAGTGTTAGAGAGGAGGATCTCTGGCTTTTGAAAAGGAGGAAGCAGGGCTGGACTGCTGAGGCCACAACAAGTCTCCATTTTTCAAGAGGGCAGACTTCAGGCCCAGCGGTCATTGAATTGCTAGGAATTCATTTTCTTTTCGCTCTCCCTTCTGTCTGCCTCTTTCCCTCTAGCTGATCTTTGAGGCTGTCAGGAGTACCAACACTACCTTTGAAATTGCTGTAGGAGTCATCTTGATCCGTCATGGGGCCTGTTCAGGTAAGATGAAATGTGCGGTCCTGGAAACAGGATTGTGTCCTTGGATGGCCATCTTTACGAACTGCTTAAGATGCAAGTCTTATTTTGCATATCGTTTTCACAGAGCTGACTTTGTTTTCCTGTCTGACTGTGTCTTTCTGTATTCTGCCCATCTACTTACTTCCCTGATCCCATCAGGATGCTTAGTTGATGCAACTTTGATGCCATGAATTTCTATGGCTGGATCAGAACCCTTCACCCAGTGAATGGTGACCTTGAAGTCAGGGACCATATCCTATGCATTTTTTGTCTTTCTCACCGGGCATAATATCTGACATATGTTAGGATCAGAGTAAATGTTTCTTGAATGAGTAACAGTTGGGATTTGGGGGTAGAGAGACAGGAATGAATGTGTTATAGCTTTGAGACCACCTATTCTAACTAGAGGTGAGTGAAAACAGTGGTAGTATGACTAAACTCCCCACCCCAAAAATATGCATATGTTTGTTTGTTTTTTGCAGAAACTGTAATGCTTCCTATGAAACGTCCAGTTCCAACTACTGTCATCACTAAACCACCTACTGTTCCCACAGAAAAACCCACTACCACCACAGAACAATACACTATCCCCACTAAAAAGCCGACCACTACCACAGAAAAAACCACCATCACTACACAAAAAACCACCATCCCCACAGGAAAATGCACCACCCCCACTGAGGAGCCCACCGTCCCCACAGAAAAGCCCACTCTTCCCACAGAAAAATGCACTGTCCCCACTGAAAAACCCTCCACCCCCACAGAAGGTTCTACCATCCCCACTGAAGAGCCCACTGCCCCCATTGAAGAGCCCACAGTTCTCACTGAAGAGTCCACTCTCTTTGTTGAAGAACCCACGACTCCCACTGAAAAGCCCACTCTTCCCACAGAAAAACCCACTCTTCCAACAGAAAAACCTACCATTTCTACTGAAAAACCCTCTGTCCCCACAGAAGAGCCTACTGTCCCAACTGAAAAACCCACCATCCCCACTGAAAAGCCCACTGTCTCCACAGAAGAACCCATGGTCTCCATCGAATCACCTACTATCCCCACTGAAATGACCACTGTGCCCACAGAACAAATCACCATTCCCACAGAACAAACAACCACCTCCACAGAAAAGCCCACTGCTCCCACTGAAAAGCCCACCCTCCTCACAGAAAAGCCCACTGCTCCCACTGAAATATCCACCCTCCTCACAGAAAAGCCCACTGCTCCCACTGAAAAGCCCACCGTCCCCACTGAGAAACCTACCATCTCCACTGAAGAAACCACCATCCCCACTGAGAAACCCACCGTCCCCACCGAGAAACCCACCGTCCCCACCATCTCCACTGAAGAAACCACCATCCCCACTGAGAAACCCACCATCCCTACCGAGAAACCCACCATCCCTACCGAGAAACCCACTGTCCCCACCGAGAAACCCACCATGCCCACTGAGAAACCCACCATCCCCACTGAAGAAACCACTATCCCCACTGAGAAACCCACCATCCCTACTGAAGAAACCACCATCCCCACTGAGAAACCCACCATTCCCACTGAGAAACCCACCATCCCTACCGAGAAACCCACCGTCCCCACCGAGAAACCCACCGTCCCCACTGAGAAACCCACCGTCCCCACTGAGAAACCCACCGTCCCCACTGAAGAAACCACCATCCCCACTGAGAAACCCACCATCCCTACTGAGAAACCCACCGTCCCCACCGAGAAACCCACCGTCCCCACCGAGAAACCCACCGTCCCCACCGAGAAACCCACCATCCCCACAGAAATGCACACAACTGCTATGATACGTCACACCAGCCCAACACTCAAACCCATTGGACCAAGTACCATCACGACCAGTGTAACCGTTGGCATCACTGCAACCCCTAGACCTGCTCCAGGTATGAGTTGAAACATTGAACAAAGAGCTGAAAATAAGAAACAGTATGAGAGAGTTAGGGCAAGGGATGCTTCTGGTTAAAAAATCAAATCAGACTATGGAGACTTTAGAAGAAATTATGAAAACTGTCTTTGGTGACCTGGACAGAAGGCAGGGGTGGGGAATGAACTATTTGAAACGAAGCATGTGACTTATATCTTCCCTTTTTATTTGAGATATAATTCGTATATCATTAAATTCACTTACTTGAAGCATATAGTTCAGTGAGGTTTAATATATTTACAGGTAGATATATGAAATTATTACCAAGGTCAATTTTAGAATGTTTTCATCATCTCAGAAAGAAACCACCCATCCGCTCCTCAGTCCTACTTTCTGTCTCTATAGATTTGCTTATTCTGAACATTTCCTAGAAATGGAATCAAACAATTTGTGGTAGTTTGGATCTGGCTTCTTTCATTTAGCATAATGTTTTCAAGGTTCATCCATGTTATAACATATGTCAAAACGTCTTTTTTTTTTTTTTTTTTAAAGGCATATAGGTGATAGAACATTTGTCATTTCTACACTCTTCACAAGTGACATTCATGTTCAGACATTACCATTTATCATTTCCAAGTTTTTCTAGCACCCTTAAAAGAAACTCAATGTTTCTAAGCAAAAAGTCTTCCTTTTCTCATCCCTTCTCACTCATCCCCTGCTAAACTCTGGTCTTCATACACTTGCCTATTCTAGGTATTTCATAGAATTGTGATCATACAACGTTTGTCTTTTGTGACTGATCTGTTTCACTCAGCTTAATGTTTTCAAGCTTCAACTATGTTTAAGCGTGTATCCAGACCTCATTTCTCTTTATGGCTGAGTAATACTCCATTCTACATTGGCTTGCCCATTCGTCTGTGGATGGACATTTAAGCTAGTTCCATCTTTTGACTGTTGTGAAAAATGCTGCGGTGAACACTGGTGTTCAAATCACTGCATTCTTTTTGCTTTTAATTCTTTTGAGTATATACCAAGAGGTAAAATTGCTAGATCATATGGTCATTTTGTGTTTAACTTTTTGAGGAACCGCCAAACTCCTTTCCACATCTATATTACCACCAGGACTGGATGGAAGTTTCTTCCTTCATTTATTTGGCTAAATGATATGGGCTTGCTTCTTAGAGAAGAACTTGAGTTTGAAGGGAGAGGAAAGACAGGAACACTCTCTAAGAAAGGATGTGGAATCAAGGATTGACTGAGGCTGTGTTTCCCCCTTAGTGACCTGTCCCTCAAATGCCCACTACGAGTCCTGTGCCTGCCTTGCATCCTGCGAGAACCCGAAGCCCACCTGTCTGCTCCCCTGCAAGCCGGGCTGTGTTTGCAATCCTGGCTTTCTGTTTAGTGTCTCCCGCTGCATCCAAGCTTCTTCTTGCAATTGCTTCTACAACAACAACTATTACAAGGTGAGACCACAGGGTGCCTGGGTCCTCTGAGGGCAATTACTAGGGAACATCTGCTGAGATGAATTTGGATCAATGGTCACCTCCAAAACACGAGCTACACAGCGTTGGGACCATTCAGCATGTAGTTTTTGATGATCATCTCTTGTCATACAACACACATTTATTAAGGACCCTCTTGTGGTCTGGTGTGATGATTGACTGGGAAGAAGGATCAAGGTCTTTGTTGTTGTTGTTGTTAAATGCTGTCGAGTGAGCTTCTGACTCCTAGTGTCCCTGTATAGAGTATCTGAGGAGCAGCTACTGGGTTTGAACCATTGTACCACACCAGGACTCCCATGTGACATTGTGTCTCTTGTTTCTGTACTTCTCTGCCTTGTAATGACAGCCTTAATGATGTCCTAAGGATTAGACCAACCACGTAATAAAGGACCCTCAGATTCCTGGTGTGACTCTATAAGATCAGCACTGGACTGCAAACCACAAGGTTGGCAGTTCAAACCCACTAGCGGCTCTTCGGAAATCCTATGCTGGCTCGCTGTGAGTCGGAACCGACTTGATGGCGTTTAACAACAACGACACAACATATTCATCCTGAGGGAAATCTGAGGTGCCTGTGTGTATAGGGCACTGGATAATGAGCAACATATCTGACATGTTTCAGGGCAGAGTCTGACATCCCATAGTCTTGTACTGTTCCTGATGGGTTTTGATCCTGATGGCTCAAAAAGGAGTTATTGTTCCTGTCTCCCCCAACAGACGGTCTCTTGAAGAGATTTGACAAGGGTAGAAGCAATAGAGATCCTATGTGAGCCACACACGTCATTTCACACGTCCTGCTCACCACATTAAAAAGGAAATAGGAACAGGCTGAATTACTTCTAATAATAGATTCAATTCTAAATATTGGTTCAGCATGTAATCAATACAAAATTATGAGGTCTGTGTATTTTACTCACAGCTTATCTCACGTGGACTGGTCACACTCTAAGAGCGCAGTGCCATATGTGGCAGGTGGCCATGCTGGGCAGTAAGCTCTTGAGTCAGGAAATTGAACTACAGTTCTGATTCTAGCAGTTATTCATTTATCTCTCTAACTCTGTCTCCGTATCTGTAAAATTGACACATAAAGATTTCATACCTCATAAGGAGCTCTGGTAGC